TGACTACGGCATTCTTACACTGACTGCGCAGGACAGGGAACATGGAACTTTGCCCCTCTTCCAAAAGTTACATAAAACACAATATGAGGCACTTGTTAGGAAGTGTAAAGGGGGTATTTGCATTTTCTGCAAGAAATTAAAAACTCCCCTGGATTGCTGCCGATTGCAGACAAATAGAGGTCTCCCCATAAAGGACGCCTGCAAATCATCTGTTATAACAGCAGCTTCAAGTTTCTGGAGCACTCAGAGCTACTCGGCCTTCCACAGCTTGACTGAGATTTGACTGGAGAAGGCATCTTAAAGTGTCACCCTGATTTTGCAATGTTCATTCCCTGATACTGTCAGCAGGAAGTGTGGGTTTGCATGGATAAACTCATTCCTTCTTATTGTATTTTACAAGTGAAGGAAATTATTGTACGCAATACAAATATTCGTTTTAATACAGCAAAGAGATTTTACTATTCCTTTTGCAAGGAAGAATAAAATGCTGCATAAAAATAGATGGCAAGGAATGAATGAGCACACAGATGTATTTTATACAAGTACAGGATGCACACACACTGTATATCACACACAACTGTAGTTTGACTAATCGCAGTAGTTAGAGTCCAAGCATTTAGAACTATTTATCAAGTTATCTGAACACCTAAATATTAGGATTTTATTTTTAAGTAAATGGATTATTTAGCTATAGTAATAAAATAAACTTTTTATGTATAAGTAAATACTAGGTTAGGTCAAAGACCACTTTTCATGCCATTGTAGTATAGGCAATCCACTTTCTAAACCATGCTTATAGTGGGTCTTTCATAGCACACAAATAAAATGTTCATATTACAGCTATTGCCAACCCTGGGACTACAGTCACAACATATGCAGCTTGTCTATATGAACATGCTCCCAAAATCTCAGTGTGCATCACAGAGTTCTGTCTGATCTACCAGTAGACATCTCCCCACATGTACAAACCTCAGACTTCCCCTCAGCAAGGGACATGGCTGCAGACACAGTGTGTATGCAGTGTCTAGAGTTCCCTAATGACCCCAAATGACATTCTGAAATTTAGTTTAGAATTTGGCATAAAGACATATTTGTGCTTCAAAAGGGACCCTGTCGTCACAAACACGAAACCGGAGGAATGTTTTGAATGCTGGCAACTGGAGGTCTCAGCACCCATGCTTGCATTCAATACCATACAATTACAGCTGCATTTTTGCCACCTCTAGATAGGCACTGCGACACTGACTTCCACAGACATTCTGCTTTTCTTAAGCAGTGTGACAATAGTTCAGATCTCCCATGGTCTTAATACAAAGATGGAATGTAGACTAAACCTCCTGTTGGGGTCATGTGGATAGACTTTCCCTGACTATAGGAAAACATGGCTGTGGAAGTTCTGCATCCTTAGTAAGTGCTTCTCCCCCAAACTGCTGACTGGACAATGAAGGAGCTGCAGCAGCTTTGTGAAGTTATCCAAGTGCCCTGCACTCCTGCACACCATGTAAGTGTGTGACGGACAACACTGTGCAATGTAATAGAACTCCAAAGGCTCTCTCCCTACCAGTATTTTCTTGGAGTTCCACTAAGCATGCACTGAGCGTGAACCATTAAAAGAATGGCAGTGGGCAACACTGTGGAAAATACACCGTTAAATGCACTGATGGTCAGTAACTTAACGTCTGTTCAGATATAAGAAGTTTTCCATTTCACCAAAAGCCTAGCAAGGGGTGGTATTTTGCCTTAGGACTGGTAGATTGATTATGCCAATCTTCTAGAGGCTTGTCTATACCAGTACACTGAGCTCTATTCACCACAAAGTGAACAAAACCCAGTTCCACTACATACTGAACATACATGCAGAACGAATGGTGAATGGAAGACAACTGGCTGCACACAACTGGGTGCACCTGACCAGCACTGAATAAGCCATTGTGGAACGAACCAATAAAATTGTTCACTGTAAGGAACAAGGTCCAATGTAAAGGAAAAATGGGCAGACCGCCTTGTGCACAAGCTCTAAACCAGCTCGTGACAATTTTAGCCAGAAATAAAATAGAATGAAAAAAAAGAAGTTAGGACCTTTTCTATCTTTTCCAAGTTACTCAGGTAAAGGCCAAGGCTAGAAGCGAGCGTCTGCTGGGATCTGCCGTGAACCCATCTCGATGCAAGGTATAAGCAAAGAGGAGTAAGTAGATCAGTTCAATCAATGAACAGATTATAATGCCTTATTTGTACACAGCAATGGAGAATGAAATACATGTAATATGTTACATAAATAAATGAACAAAGCAGATTTATGTGGTGAAAACAGTTATATTAAAAGCACTGAAATGTTTGTGTACAAAAATTGTTAAAGTGAGCCTTTGACAAAAATATGGAGGTTGTCAATGCTGACCTTCTGAGGATGCGAGTTGCCTGGCTACTATGCCCATCCACTGTAATCACTGACCTGAAACAAGTACACAGCTCAGGAAAGTCAGTAGTCTTTCTCTACACGTGTATGTGACTTTGTTTAATCAGTAAGCTAGCAAATCAGTACGACAGCCAGGGAACTAGCATTTGCACAACGAGAAGTCAGCAATAGCAGTCTCCAAGTTTCTTTTAACAAAAAGGTTTCCCTTTATTGCCCACTGCTGCAGACGGCCTGTATGAAACATTGCTAGGTGAACTTCCCATAGAGCAAGTTTTTTTTTTTTTAAAGATAACCTGCTGGTGGAATCCGGTATCACAGCTCCTGTAGTCAAACTTTCTACTATGAAAATATAAGAAACAAGGAGACACACTTTAGTCCATTAGTGAATGAAAACAGAAATGTAATGAGGCCTTGCTTTTAGAACACACAAAAGCACCGCGCCTCCGTGGCTCAGCAAAGGAATGAGCACGTCCTCGCTCCAATATGAGCCTATACAAACAGAAGAAAAGGTGGTGGCACACTGGATTCCACTGGTAGAGTTTATTGAAGCTTGTACCACATCACTGGTGTCCCACCCAAGATCCACCCCTCTAATGTGTTTCACCCCTTCACAGGTCTTAGTAAGAGATCTCTAATCAGTGGAAACAGCTTTTCTCCTGTTTGTGGAGGCCTTGCTTTTACTTACAAAAGTGTTGTATGTGGAGGACACCTCCATATTGCCCATTGCCACAAGGAGGCAACTCAAGCAGTGAGCTAAAAACCAAAGTGAAGTCACCTCTTATAGCTCTCACTAGAGATTTTCAAAGGCTTAGCAGAGATTTTAAAAGCACACTATACAGCCAAAAGAGGTGTTTGCTGGTGATCTGTAGAACTCAATTCAGAGATGTAATGACCATAAAATACAGATCTATGTCAACAAGAAGGTAACAGTCTATGAATATACACATATGAATAAAAGGTTTTCATTAAAAGGCATCCAGTGAGTAACAAAATGCCTTGACATACATTTCACTGTAAACCATATTGTAAATATTTTGATTTAGCAGAAAATTTGCAAATGCTCAAATTAGAGAATATTTATAAAGCAGTGAAACCGACATTCCCTGAACATTTACTGCAGGTGAATGATAGTGATTGATTTATGACCAGCGATGTTTGGTAAAAGCCACATATACTTCTTTATAGATATGCTCCTTGAATGTAGGAAATAAAGAGGACAGGTAAGAAAACCCTATTAGAGATTGTCACAGTGGAAGGGAAAGAAACCGAGCGGGCACAACTGAGAAAAATTCAATTTGACATTACTGTATATACTAGGACTATACATGTATTTGTATACAATGCCCAATATGTAAAATGCCTACAGTTTAAACAAGCACACGGGCACGCCCAACTTGTATCAATGGCGAAAAACACAAATTGAAAATTTGAAAGTCCATATGAGCATTTTAGGTCGTATTAATAAACAAAAATGTTAAAAAGGATTTCAAAGTCTCTTTATAATTACAACACAATATTCAAACAATAGGTTCATCTTTGCGGACCGTTTTCAACATATAAACTAGACTTAAGACCCATAGGTTAGCTTTTAAAAGCCCTTCAATGGTTTAATTAGTTGGACTCCCTCTAACAAAATCACCATTTCCCTAAATGTCTGGCCATACAGTCAGAAGACATGCACACTGTGTACCCACATTTTATATGCCAACTCTATACACAAATAATGCTTCAGTTCTGCATGGTTACAGGTATGTTAAATTTACACGTTGGCTTCTCATATGTCTTGGGTTCTCCTGCAGTGAAATAGTCGAATTTTACATTTCTTTTTGAATTCCAAACCCATTACGAATCCAAAACGAGAAGACAAAATAGGCATACAGAGAAATAAAAAATTAGTTTTTTTGCAATTTGTTTTTTTTACATATTCATATAAAGCCGTTCAGATTTCTACTGACTGACTAGAAGTGATCACAAACTGTAACCATAGATGTTGAGGTGTACTTTTTTTTCCTTCCAGCTACCTTGGGACAAAAGGTAAGCTGTGTTTTCATTTGCAAGCTCAAATTAGTATTGGCAGTTCACATTTCAACCTAACGTAGCCCATCCATATCAAGTCCTAATGGCAGGAAGTGACTCTAATGTTATACAGACAGAGCTCATAGTCAATCCCTAAAGGCTGGATTGGTTCACTTATCGAGTGATGGATAAATGACCATTTGAATGATGAAAATGCTGCAATCCCATGTGGGCTGTTGTGGCCATTCTCAATCCATCACTAAAGGAGTGAACGGCTCAAGAAATTGAGGGATTTCTGCCCACGTGACTGCAACCCACCAAGGAGGCATCCACGCAGTTTGGGTCTTGCTACCATACAAGATAAAGAATAGGTGCCTTTCTCTGCAAAGACCCGGTGTGCCAGCTGGCGCAACAAGAGCAAACCATCAGGCTTTTTTTTTTTTAAACACTGCCCTCAGTTTGCTGGGTTTTTTTCCCCAGATCACACATTATAAAGTTCAACTTTGTATTAAAGTTATGCTTCATCTCTGCGTGATTGTATTTTGAAATGCTATATGCTGCGAGAACAGATCTAGCAAAAAGGTATGACACCGAGATCTGCTTGAACTGATGAAGATTTGTGATTCTTTCCTAAAAAATACATACTCCAAAGAATACATATGTATTATTGTTGTTGGTGAGGACGAAGAGAATTAAACCAAACACTCAATAATTGTACCGACGCCGACAAGGCTGGTGAACAAGGATACCGCTGTGCTTGACCTGATGTGAATGGAAACCTCGAAGGAGGTTTTGACGTCTAAGGCTTTTCCGGTTCAGAAGAGGTTTTTTTTCCAACTGCTGCTTTGATAGCTTGGTGTAGTGCAATGTCTTGGCCTGGTCCAGACAGTGTGTTCGAGCTGCGAGGGTAGCGACATAACAACGGACGTGGTGGCCCACATTTGTAAGTTCTGCATCCAACCTGAAAAAAAAAAAAAAAGGAATAAATAGTGAACTTGTCTCACTGCCCTACTCCATTGTCTGGTGAACTACCCTGAAAAATGGCCTCTCTTTGCTTTTTGAGTTGATGCAAGAGCCAGGAATGTTCCTATGATAAACACATGGCAAGCTTCCAGACTCAGGAGTACTACATTTGCTGTGACTTAACTGGGAGGATTACTCCACTCAAAATGATGTACAAGTAGGACTAATTAAACCGTTTCGGGCTTATCTGATAAACAGCACAGGGGAGCCAGATTCACACTGCAGTAACCCATAGCAAACAATCAAAATGCAAATTTTGCTAAAGTCAGATTACAACATGGATTGCAATGGAAGCTGGGTGCCTCTTTCCAATCAGTGCTTTGCTGCTTTCACTATTTTTGGTGCATTTGCTACCTGCTGACTTGCCTGATTGGAACAGGTTTGGGAGGCTTAATGTTCCATTTTTAAGAGTTGATCAGTTTGTCTAAAGAGCTATAAACAATATCATATGCATACGTTTCATAAGTCCCTTAGCGGTGTGCATACTTAAGCATTGTAAAAACCCATACACCTATAAAGAAAACCTTTACTTTAGGGAAATATGGGGGCTGCCATTGGTCACCCAATTCTGCTTATGCCAGTTGCCTGGAGGTCTCTGGTTTCAATACTTTCTGAGCTGGTACAAGTATGCAGCAAAACCGGTATGGAAATCCCAACACCTCCCTGCAGACATCACCTAATTACCAAACATGGATGAATCCCACAACAGAATTTCATAGGTTACTGGAAGGTCCACAATGGGTAGGGTGTAAAATATATCCACCAATTATATAAAGGATATGTGAATACTTGTTTTAAGTGTCCCCTGCAGTATGTAGGGTGTACTACCAAACCCTTTAGGCTAGGATTAGGATAAAAGGAGCAATATTGCGGTGGACAAAATGTTTGAACTCTACAACCCTCTAATGCTTCCAAGCATTTGCTGGAAAAACAAATGGCATATGTCTTTATTGGGGTGGTAAGGGAGTTTTTGTCTATCAGGAGTGGTGATTTGCAACAGAGACTGCTGGAGCTGGAAGTACAATGGATTTTTAGGATGCCTTTGGGATGGGTTTGAATCACTGCTAGGATGTCAATATACAGTACATCTAGAATAACAGAGATATAATATTTGTGCATAGAATAATACGTTCGTGTACTGGCATCCCTGGCATGTGTCCATTTGTTGCATGGTGTATGACTTTACCATAAACATGAGATGTGTTTCCAATATTGTAGCAAGTAATGGTTAATTGGGGTGTTAACTCCACCTACTCGTGAGTGGCATGGAGTATATTAGCGACTTTGAAGTAATGGCAGTCAGCTATGACTGAGGCTTCTTTGTAGGAAGAAATGCACAGCATGATTATCCTGAACTATTGTTCTACACCAAGCCTGTGAAAATAAAAGAGTGACCTAATGCACAAGGTCAAGTTTGCACCTAGAAATATCAGGTTTTGTCTTTGCTAATCCAACAAAAGGAAAAACAGTGATCTAAGGTCACCCAGCAGCATATCATTAGCCACTTCCAGAGGGTTCACGTAAATGTACATCCTCCACTGGAAGTGGTTATACCAAAAACATGGCTGCTGCTGCAGTTTTTACGGCGTGCGTCACCCCCTCCGCCGCTGCCGTCTTCCACTGTCCCCTGTGTGAGCCCGAGACCGGACCGGTGGGTCCCCCCTGATGGATTGGAGGAGAGATTAGCGGCTTCTCTTCTCCAATCACTGGACCCAGAACTGAAGTGCATTCCATCATTTCCGGTGTCGCTGGGCTCTTAGAGCCAGAAAAAGAAGCAGATCTCTGCTTCATCAGCTTCTTTGGTTCCCAAGGTCACATTTGGGGTCTGAAAGACCCCTGATGTCGCGATAAAGAGGACCGGTCACATTATATTTGCTATTACATAGGGGGGCTTGTTAGAAGTACTAAGTGCACGAAGAAAAAAATCAAAAAGGATGGGGACCTGTATCCTTTAACAAACTCCAAGAAATTGATTTATGGCAAATACAAAAATCCACAAAATAAATGTACTTTCTTGTTCATTGAAGGAAACAGGAATTCAGATAAATGTGGGATGCCCAAAAGCAGTGCAACTGAGGGACTGATAACAAAATAAAATGTCTGAATCTGAGTAAGGTATGAGAATAAGGTGAACCCCACTGCCCCCCCACCCCCCTTCCTTAACCGATAGGGAAACCTAACAATGGCATATGCAATTAGGCCCACACTGCAAGACGAGGTCTCAATTACTCACAAACCCCAGGCAACTGGTGCAGAAGAGGGTTTAGTGGCTGCAGGTCGCTGTAGGCCGGTAGTGGTAGTGACAAACAATTGGTTCCAGAATAAAATCCCTGTGTTTTGTGATGCATGATCCACCCATACAGTGTTGCCATACGAACAATACTACTTCCATACCATTCCTTTAAATGTATCTGTGTACATGAGTAAATTTAACTCACACTGATTTTTTTCACTTTTGAATCGAGGGATCTGCACACAGCATAGCAAGTTTACTGCTCTTTAAAGAAGAACTCCGGGCAAAAGTGTTTAACCCTTGCAGTGGAGCTACCCCTGCACTGCAAGGGTTAAGTGCTCGTTTTTTTATCTTGGTGCTACAATAGAAAAAAAAAAAAAGTTACTCACCTGAATCATGGAGTCGGCCGGCTGTCACAGTACTCCCTCCAGCCTGCTTACTCCTCCGCTGCAGCGATGGTATGTCCCTCGGCATCCTTATGTTCTATAAACTCTGTACAGGACGTGGTCACTCACTGCACCTTAGACCGCTACAGCGGAGGGGACTGGTCCAAGAGCAAGCTGGCTCTGAGGATTGGGCGAGTACAACTTCTATATTTTAGCAGCTAGACCAAAATGAGTTATTAACCCTTGCAGTGCTGGGGTAGCCCCACTATAAAGGGATAAGGGGACAGTTATAGGACGCTGATATAAACGCTGATTTTTTTTTTTTTTTTGGCTGTGTGCACTAGCCGTATAACACTATTGACCTTGGACTGAAAACCATCGGCAACAGACCGATTTTAAATACATGGCAGCTCAAAAGAGTGGATTATGAGAATAGAAAATAACTCACCCTAAACTGCTAGAGATATCAAGCTCTGAATCGCACACATCTGCCTGCTTGTTAGAAAGATTGTGAACAGCATAAACAGACATGCTCGGGTGTTCAATGAGAAGGTTTTCCAAAGGGCTGGTCTCCACCTCATTAGTGGTTAACTCTCCGGCAGTGAAGCAGGGAGGTGGCGTTACGAACCAGCTCTCTTCCATAGGACATGCATCAAAATGGACAAAGTACGAGTCACTAATATTTCCAAACTGTTTCAAGGCACCGGATGTTAAGGACAATATAGGGTGTTCATCAACGAAAACAATTTCTTCTAATGTAGAGGCTTCTTCAGGTGTTCTAGTGCAGGCATCCACTTTGAAGAGCAAGAAAACAAAAGTGAAAAATATAAAATAAACTTATGAAGAATCACCAATAAATGTTAGAACAGTTTATAATGAAAGACAGAAAATAATGTATTGCTATAAGTAAACAGATCTGAAAGCGACACTAAACTCAATAATTAAATCTTAAAAATGCATTCAGGTACCTTAACTATGATTATAAATGTATCTTATTTGTGTATCACTCGGCTGTAGAGCCTCAAATCATCTCTGATTTGGTGCCGACACTGTCTTTCCTTCCGGAGGGGGGCTACTTTTGTTCCCCATGGTCCCTGTGTGTGTTGTAGAGTAGTCACCGTTCCAAGCTCACTCCTGTGATAAGACTACAATCTCATGGTTAATTTACTAATTTGTATTGAGATTGTAGTCCATTACGGGAGTGAGCTTGGAGCGGTGACTTCTTTTTTTTTTTTAAATAACCATCTGGGCGGATCACAGTGTTCAAAGGACAAAAAAAATTGCAGTGACAGCATCCCTTTAAATTGAGACGAGGCTTAAGAGTATCCCACCAAACATTAGATTCCATTTGTAGGAATGCCAAATACAGTGGTACCTCAGGTTCATGAACTTAATTCGTTCCACGATTCTGTATTGGTTGCGAGACCACGATCTCGACTAGAGGAAGCCACGACCATGTGTCAGAGCAGGGAAGATGGCTACGGTCGTGTTAGTCACCCGATGTGGAGTTCGCGAACAGAAGGAGCAAAGATTTTTCGAACTTCCTGTTCGCGAACCGAATTGTTTTCAAACAGAAGCGTTCGTGAACCGAGGTATAACTGTATTTTACATTACTGATTGCAGACTGAGATTTCTGGGAGAATTCTGTACACCAATAGTGTATAGAACAGCATATAGAACTCCTCCAGGTTGCCATACTGCAAGAAAGCGACATTAAGATTTTTGCCCATTTTTAGAAAACTGCACCAGATGCAAATTGAACAAAAGAAATTGAATATTATACACAAATTACAAAATGGATTGTGTGGGAATTGCATTTTTTTTTTTTTACAAAAGTGGAGATGGAACAACATTTTCTGTGGTGCTACATAGCTATAAACCAGAGTTAAACATTCACTAAAAATGACAAAGTTTAAATAGTTTTAGATTTACTTTTGGTTAAAAAGCACCCGTTAGGCCTGGTTCACACCTGGGCGTTTTACAGCGTGTTCCTACGCGCTGTAAAACGCTCAACACGTGAAAACCAATAATTGCCTATGGGCATGGTTCCCACCCGGGCGTTTAACAACGCGTTCTGACGTTGTTCAGGAGTGGCTTGACAAGAGGAATACGACATTTGAAGCCCATGTCCAGGATGCGTCTGTGTGTGGTGGCTCTTGATGCACTGACTCCAGCCTCAGTCCACTCCTTGTGAAAGTCCCCAACACTTTTGAATGGCCTTTTCCTGACAATCCTCTCCAGGTGCTTGTGCACCTTTTTCTGAGATTGTGGATTTGGGGTTTTCATGAGCTGTAAGCCATAATCATCACAATTATGACAAATCACAGCTTGAGCTATCTTGCCTTGCATGTAATGAGTCTATCTCATATATTAGTTTCACCTTCTAAGTTGCATTAGTGAAATAAATAAACTTTTGCAAGATATTCTAATTATTCGAGTTTCACCTGTATATATTAATTCCAACAAAAATAGTCCACATAATATTCCCAGCATAGAAAAAAGGGCAAACACAGGAGGGGAAAAGGAAAAAAAGAGACACGGACGAAAAGGGGAGAAAAGAAAGAAGGAAACCCCTCCTCCCTAGCACCCCCTGAAAGCCAAAAATCCAATACAATTATATAGTCCTGGAAGACTGTTGGAACCCCGAGAGGAAAAAATGTTTAATCCAAAAATCCGATTCAATTTAAAAATACCTGTGGATCTGCCAGAAATCCAGTGAACTCAGGACATCAGTAGTGCAGCAGAGTCTGGGTGCATAGGAATTTAGAACCTCACTGGATTTCTTATACTTTTCTATAATGGCAGCTTTTGTAAAGAGACAAAACATGGGGAAATGTGCATGTACTGGAGACATATACAGCACTTTTGCCCACATACTCTTTAGGTTCATCGATCATCAGTAAGGTGATGTGTAGGGCACGTAGGCCTGCTTTACAGTCACAATACTATAGTTGTTGGAGGGGGGGGTTTGGTGGGAAGGGTGCCATCTTTCATATGCGACTAATGCCGCATGGAATCTAGATACAGATGTGGTAATTCGTAAGTCAATCCACCCAACACTTCCAGTCCTACCTATGAAGTCCACCAGGATCCATTCATTATCGTCTTCTTTTTCACTAAGCTCCGGCTCTTGGCATAAGATGTTGCTGGAGTCGCCCATAAACATACTATTGAGCTTTTGGAACATTGCAGAGTTCCTTTCTTAACCGTTCTTCAGTCCTCACAGTGATGGCTCAGGTTCAGCCAGGTGGCACAGGCAGTGATAAAGTGCATAAAGAAGGTCTCAGCTTAGAGATACAAAAAACATCACATCAGCTTTGTATCAAACCTGAAAAAAAAAAAAACACAAGTATATTGGTATGTATATGGACAAGTGTCTAAGAGTGAGGTATTAGAGGACCCAGGCAGACCAAACCTTGCAGAGGGCCATAAAATGACAACACTTGAGCCCCCAATAGGTCCGGGTTAAGTAGGACTATCACAATAATCAGACCGGCCTTGGTAGAACTGGTGTGTTTTCCACTGATTTGCACAAAGTGAAAGCAGTAATCACACTGATCTGTGAAATCTGAAATAGAAACTATAGCAGGCTCAACGGTCAGGTTACTGCAATAACATTTCATGGAATATCTTATTTTCACATCTACTATTCCTATTTCATGAATGCAGAGATTGCAGAGATAAACTAGCTTTTATGACTGACTATAGATGGCAAATGGGTTACACAGAAACAATGAACGTGCACGGAGAGAGAAAAGCAGTAAAGGAAAATCGCTGTGCAGGACTACTATGTAGGAAGCAGTGCCTGCATATCGAATGGCAAATACATGACTGTGAAGGCAATCACGGTTACAAACTATAGCCTTAAATTAGTTTTTAAAACCTTAACAATCACTGACTAATGTAAATTATTTTAAGGAGGCATGGGGGTAGAGTCACTAAAGGCAAATAGGTGTTCACTTTGAGGGAACTTTGTCCTAGCATAGTGAATGTGATGAAAATTCACTTTGCAAAAAATAGCCAATCCCACGCAAGGAAAATAAGAAAAACCTGAATTTTTGCTTGCACATGATTGGATGATGGAAGTAAGCAGAGCTTCACCTCATTCACTAAGCTAAGGGAACATTCCCCTGCAAAGTGAGCAGGCTATTTGCCTGCTCACTATTTAGTATGTGAACCCCGCCATCATTTGGCTGGGTCAAAGTGACAGCATCTCTGCAAAGACTGCCAGCCCCCACCCCAACCTGACAATCTCCTTACCAGCGCTTCCTCATCACTCCTTTCTCCGTTGCAGCAGGGGGACACCATCTGGCACTTCCGGGTAAGGGGGAACATTTGTGTGCCACCCACCCCGAACATACTCTCCTTTCCAGCTATTCCTCATCACTCCTTTCTCCGTTGCAGCAGGGGGACACCATCTGGCACTTCCGGGTAAGGGGGAACATTTGTGTGCCACCCACCCCGAACATACTCTCCTTTCCAGCTATTCCTCTCAATTCCGGGTAAGGGGTGAATATTAGACCTGCTCTCTTGCTTGGGCCTAGCAAACAAAAACCAAGCCTGAGCACTGTCACATGACTGAGGAAGTGACATCACCATTCCACCTAAATCGCCAACACTGCTGATTTCTAAACCAGTTGTAATGAAGGAATAAGGTGCCGTTTGCAGAAACACCGTCCCTTTCCTGCATTGGCATTCGTTTTTATAACTTTCACTCATTTAAACAAAACGTTCCCTATTCCCAATCTTAATTTTTAAGGTTGGGAAGAATTCACATGCAATAACCCAATGGCAACCATACATCTGTTTACTGTAGGTCAGTAAAAACATTGTGATAGATGTCCATGAATCATTTCACTCTTCATTTCCTTTTACTTACTAAAAATAGGACCTGCACTAAGAATTAAGATTTGGTATCTTATAGGGAATATCTTGAAGTGTTAATTGTGCCAATGCAGTATTATTATTATTATTATTATTATTATTATTATAATACAGGATTTATATAGCGCCAACAGTTTGCGCAGCACTTTACAATTTAAGGAAGACATTACAAAGGAGGACCCTGAACATTTTGTAAATCCCGCCTGAAAAAAAGCCGTGCACTTTCTTTGCCTTGAGCCTCATAGCTGTATATCAAGAGGGAGAGATTTAAGGTAGTGCCGCCTCTAACTGCCAGTCTCCCCAGATTTGAGTTGAGATTTGGTGCAGGTACTACAGTAGTTCTCACCGTATAAGTAATGATCTACAGACAAGTATCTCCCTGCTACTGCATTATTCATTCTGTGAATCTGTGCTTTACAAACCTCTCTACCACACCACAAGTCTTTGGATTACCAGTCATTGGTAATGGGGGACTGACTCGAGGAAGCAAAGCCCTGCCTCTAAGATGGCTGCCTCCACACCAGTGGCGTCACAAGGGATGTGCGGGGGTGCAGCCCACACCCGCGTGACACCAAAATGAGTGACAGTCATTTTGGTGTCAGCCCCTCTAAAAAGTCAGGCACTTGGTCATAGATCGAGAGCTGGACAGTGTCAGGAGAGAGAAGGGGACCTGGCGGGTGAACGTCCCCTCCTGTCTCTGCCGGCGTTCATCACCAAGATGGCATCCGGAAAGGCGTCAATAAGATGATCGCGTACACAGGGTGACATCACGGTGGGGTGTCACCCGGTCTCCACTCCAGGACGCCCCTGCTCCACACAAAGGCACGGTACGGAACAAGGCATGTTAACGCCAGTAAAGGGGAAAAGATCACAGAGAGCTTATAGGATATACAAGTTTGTCAAAGTGTGATTACATAAAGCATTTCTAACATGATTTCCTATTGCACAAGAGTTAAATGATGCAAAACGTATCACATCACCAGCATAACACCTTACACTGAGAAGTGCAGCAAAGGGAAGATGGTTAGGGTTAAAGGGTTGTCATATAAAAAGAGTCACCCCCACACCTAAAAATATCATTTTACTGACTAGGTTATGTGTCTCACTGATTTCTCAGATAACATCATCCAAACCTCAGCAAGGGAGGTGAACATAGGAAAACCGCTACATAAAATGACCTTTGCCTATTTTAGAATTCTGACTACACCCACTTATAAATAGCACATTAAAAATAAACAACCATCCTTATGTGGATGGAAAGACATACAAATAGCATTAGGAGTTTTTTTTCCCCAGAGAACTTTTCTTTATCAATTAAAACAAAAAACACAACAAGAACTTGTGTCCCCGCCGTTATAGGAAGGACACAAGCTCAAAATGTGAAGATTTACTACATTATGGGGAGCATTTGGAAATGTTAATGTTCCTAAGTAGCACCCTGAAACATCTACCCTTTGCCTTGTATGCCGCCTGTGTCCTGAGCCTCAGATGTATATCTGCAGTATATGATCACCTAAGGCTGGACTGCCTCTGAATGATGAAATATAATGTAGATACAACTATGCTATGGAGATCTCACCGCACTCCTTACCGCTACACCCTTATATCAAATGGGTACTGAAATGACTGTGGATGGCGCGGCTCCAATAAATCCACAAACAAGATGCCACCAGCACGCTGGAATGCAGGTCAAAGAATTCAAGTACAATATTGATGCATTGCATCATAAAGATGGCTCGATAACGCAATGTGCCAATAAAAGGATGCGATGGCTGTTTACATACAAGCGATCGGGCATCTGTATTGACGCCCGATCGCTTGTACTAGGTGCAGGTGTGCGCCAGACACCGTGGGATCGGTCCAGAGATCTGCTGTGCCTGGTGCGGCTGGGACCGGCACGGCAGCTCTGTCACAGGAGGAGATCAAAGGGAGATTAGTACACGATCTCCCTTTGACCTCCTCTCCGGTCCCCGAATGCAGGAAGTGATGTATATAACATCACTTCCGCATTCAGCTGTCATTCCCGGCGACAGATGCCGCTGAGCAGCTGGTGAAGCAGATCTCTGCTTCATCAGCTTCTCTGGGGGTCCGTAGGTGACCTTAGGGGTCCTGGAGACCCCTGATGTCTCCATAAAGAGGATATGTTATGTAAATTGGCTATCACATAGGGGATTTCTTAGCCCCCTAAGCGATAGCAATAAAGTGTAAAAAAAAAAAAGTCACAAATAAAATAAAATTAAAAATCCCCCCGACATACACAGGCAAGCATGCGTTGCGTGCGCCTACGTTTCAGAAAATTACGATTCCGCCTATTGTGCCGCACAAGTTACATCGCTGTGATGAGTGAGAGTAATAATTTTATGGCCATTAAATCACTGATAACACTAATCTGATGAGCGGTAAAAGCTTTGAAAGCGTCGCCGATAGCCAATTTTGGGTGTGGTAGTTTTCTGAAATTTCGCAGGTGCATGAAATTTTGGCTCGACATGTTTGGTGTCTATTTACCCGACGTGACCCCGACTTTTATATTTTACCAAAAAATTGGGGTGATAATAAAATGTTTCAAAACATTTCATAGGGAAACAGGTCTTTTTTTCCAAATTTAGAGTACTTTTTAAATTATATAGTAAAAAATTAAAACCCCACCAAAAAAGGGTATAACATTTGTTTCAGTACAGCGTTGCATGACGGAATAAATATCAGTCAAAGTACCGCAGCGCTAAATACTGAAAAATGGCCTGGCCAGGAAGGGGATATAAACACAGCGGTCAGCAAGTGGTTAAGAAAGGAAGAATAGTATGCCTATTATAGGTTAAAGAGAAGGCAGGGGTATGTTTTAATACATGGTGACACATGCCTGTAAAGAAAAGCAAGCAAATGTGATTACAAAAGATACAAAATATCATGAAAACACAATATTTGCAAGATACAAATTCTAGAACAGACTACAGTAGTGTAAGTAAATCAGCTAAATAGTTTGTGACAAAACTGAAACTATTAGCCAAAAACTGTTGATTTGTCAACACTAAAAGTATTCACATTAAACACAAGCCCACAACAAGTATTAAAGTGACATTAAACCCTCAGATTTTTTAACATAAAACAATACTGTAATGTGTGCCTTACTGTAATCCATGGTTGTTTCCCTTCTCTTTGCTGCTCTTCCTTTCAAAATCCTCATGTCTTTTCATGCTGGGCAGAACTTCTGTTTTGCAGCAGACTGCCTTGTCTCTGGAATGGATACACGGTGTCTGTGTGCAGGTTCACAACCTGAGCCAGCACTACAGGAAGAGGCACTCAGCTGCAAAGGGAAGTTCTCCCCAAGCATGAGAAGAGATACGGATTTAAAAGGAAGAGCAGCAAAGAGAAGGGGAACTACCATGGATAACAGTAAGGCACACATTACAGTATTGGTTTATGTTCAAAAATTTCAGGGTTTAATGTCACTTTAATTAAAAAACAAGTTATCAATCACCTCTGTAGCTGTAAACACTGTGGGGAAATTAATATTCAAAGACCATGAGCTACTTTCCACTTTTCTTTCTGAGAAAAACAGAATTTTGGCAACCCACCAACTTCCTAATGTAAAAACACACAGCAGGTGGTTTCTAGGCTGTTACAAACACAAACAATCCGCAAGGTTTTCAGTACAAAAAATACAAACAGTAGAAAAAGTAGGGGGCAACATGGTACAGATGTTGATAAACCTGGTCAAATACGAGGCACTGATATTAAAGGATCCCACATTCCATTAGGGACAATCACATGCCCCAGGGAACAGTAAAGTATAGGGCCCATGGGTGGGTTCCTGAAGCAGTTTTCAGCCATGGCGCCTATAAATCAAGCCTCGAACCAATAGTGTAAAAGTTGAAATAAGAGACCATGTTGTATCCCCTGGTGGTAGACAGTTCTCAGACAGACATAAGGTTGGGGGAGACATACAGAGACTACACAAGCCCGAAAGACATGACAATAAGAAGGCGAAAGAACAAAAAAAAGGCTCTTTTTAAAGCTGGCCATGCACTACAATCTGATTGCACAATCACCTTTAGATTTGCCAACTGTAAAGTGAAAGGGTCTGCCGTAAACCGTCCTCATTTTCTTATTACATATGGCTTGCTTTATGTCAGTGGCCTACAAGACCCTTATTTTTGGGATGGGGGGGGGGGTAATTTGACTGTTGAGCAGAACAGGCTGCTAGGGTGGCAGAGGCACCTGCTCCTCAAACAGTCCCAGTGCATACAAGGAATGTGGATTGGGTTCACCAGCAGGGCTCTATATATTAAAAAGCCACAAAACCCACAGGGAAAGAAAGAGACAGAAAATATAACTACTTCTCAGAACACTCACATAAATGCACAGATTGGTTTCTTTTTCAGAAACCAGTCAGCTATAAATACATTACCTGACAAGCTCACTGAAAGGCAGTTATATTCAGGCAGCCTGTGACTTATTAGACTACGCAGATATGGATTTTCCTTTTATTTCAGGAACCCAGCCAAAGAAATAGAGGAAATCAATTGCCTGCTAAGTGCCAAGTGACAAGCACTGGCATCGTTTTTCATGTAACCAGACAAAAGGGAAGCTTATTTTTATTATACCCAAGCCAGTTGCCATCCTCCAGGTATTCTACACGGGGCCGGCGGCGGTCCTCCAGGTATTCTACACGGGGCCGGTGGCGGTCCTCCAGGTATTCTACACGGGGCCGGTGGCGGTCCTCCAGGTATTCTACACGGGGCCGGTGGCGGTCCTCCAGGTATCATAAAGTATCATACACGGTAGGGATGTCCCGATACCGATGCTAGTACCCGTATCGTGGCCGATACAGGGCATTTTCAGGAGTACTTGTACTCCTGAAAATGCACCAATGCCTAGATCAGATACCGGCTGTTTAAATTTTTATAACTAGCTTCGGCCATTGACCCCCATAGCCCCTCCCCCAGAATACCTCTCCATCAAAACGAGGCTCCCTCTCCGGAAGTGTGACAGCATGGCGGGGGTAAGTGTTGTGTGGGCAGTCTCTTCTCCCTGCAGGTGCTGGCTGCAGAGCTCTGTGTCCCTTTCACAGACCGCTGTAGCCGACACAAGAGGGGAGAAGAGACGGCAGCTGTGAAATCCCCCGCTGCCCCCCTCCCCCCTGTATCTTAGCTGCTGCTGCTCCTCCGTGTCCCATCCTTTTCAACTTTATGAATCGGTTTCCTTTTGGTGATATATGTCAGTGTGAGATGCCCGTGCTCCTTGCTGCACAGCAGTTTTCACTCTCATTGTAAGAAGAGTATGTCCGTTCAGTGTGCTCACGGGGGAGAGAAGCTGTAAATCTTGCCTTCAAACAGAACGAACATTCTCTTCTTCCATTGAGAGGGAAAACTTCTGTGTGGGTCTGGTGCGGGCATTATTAAAAACACATAAGGAGCATGATACACTAGAGGTCTAAAAGACCCCTAATGTCACCTTAAAGAGAACCTGTCACCCCCAATGCACGCAGCACTGGTGAGAAACTGCCCTAAAATCATTAGGGTGTATTGTTTTATAAAAAATGTCACATGTCCCTTTAAGAAAAAGTATCGGTAATTGGTATCGGCAAGTACATGAGGGACAGTACTTGTGTTTGGCCTTGAAAAAGTGGTATCGGGACATCCCTAATACACAGGGGCCAGTTGGGAATGACAATAGATAACATTTTTTAATTTATCCAGCAAGATCTGCAAATCTCACAGACTTGTCCAAGTTGCGCAATGATAGGCAACTCCCCCCACTTGACACTTGATTCCATTTTCTAATTAGGTTTTCTGCAGGCACAGTGCTCTCTGCATTCAGAATTACATGTCAGAAAACAATTATACCAATGAAAGTATTCCTGAAATCCTGTGATATGAACCAGGAATAAGAAGCCCCATCAGTTTATGTTTAATCTAAGCTGTGCACTTTTGATTTAAAGCCCTTCCTGCATTTTATATCTGTATAGACAGCACTTTTTGGTGTTAGAACACAATGTTCATTGAGCATGTGAGCAACCTGACAGCTGTGTCCATCACCGAGACCCCCTCCCACCTTCAGAGCAAGCCCCATCTGTCAATGTAAGCCTCCATCACTATAATAAAGTCCCCAATAACTGTTGGATACTAATCTGTGCGAAAGCCGGTGCAGCTTTATAAGCGTTTGGCTTGTTTAAGCTAACAACTGAGTTTAACGTGAACATCTAGGATGGCAAAAAGTTGCCATTATTCTAAGAGGCAGGCTCCAGAGTGGCCATCCAGTTCCAGACTCCACTACCTAGTAATTGGGTAAAGCCGGCTCCAGATATGTTATCCTGTTACCAACTACCTAGTGATTGGGCAGGGAAACAAAAACTCCCTTCCTGTAAGTCCCCATCCATATATGTTATGAAAGCACAAGACCTATAAACACAGAATACTGTACTGTTGATTTTGTATATCCCATAATAATTACACAAATGTTTATCAAAACAAGGCTGTTAACCAGAGTGAAAATCTCTGTGAAATGTGGGCAGGTAGTTATCCCTCAATGTGTTTGTCACAGCGGAACTATACATAGGGGAGACAGGTGGTCTTTATAATGATCTCAATTTTAAAAGGAGAACTATGAGGTGAGTGCTTTTCACTCACCTCATAGTTCTAGCCGACCTGTGACAATGAGACTGTCACAGGTCGGCTCAGTAGATCTGCCTCTAGATAGGCAGAGCCACCTGTCACTCACGCAGCTGGGCGGATCCCGACATCTAAGTCGGGATCCGCTCCGGCTGCGGCGTCTCAGTATACCGCGAGCTGTAGCTCGCGGTATACTGAGCTTAGGGTGACGGGAGGACGCTAGTTTGTGTCCTCCCGTTACCCTAAGGAGAACTATGGGGAAAAGCCCTGACCCCATTTTTTCGGTAATTTTCGGTTTCTGCCTTAAACAATTCTGCTGCAGGAGGTCCGTTTCAGTGCCATTCATTTCAATGGCACTCCAAACGTGCCTCCCACCTGCAGTGTGACAGCCTGCACTGGAACGCACGGTACCTCAATAGGGCACATTCCAGTGCAGTGTGACTACACAAAATTGTGCATGCAGTTTTAGTCCGAAGTAAACTTTATGTTTGTAACACTGCATTTGTGTATTTTATTTTAAATTAAAAGGATGGTATTTTTTCCCCCCTATTAATCAGATAAAAAACATCAGCCCTAGTGATATGTGACAGTTTCAATGAACGTATGATAGCCTGTGCCAAAGCAATTAAGCACTTGTGCCAATGTTCTAAATCAGGGCCGTTTTGGGCCCTCTGCCCGCTCCTACTGACCATGCCCCCTAACCCCTAGGAGGAGACATCAGAGGGAGACGTGACCCCATGTGAGACGCAACACTATCAGGGTTATTCACAAAAGGGTGAAGAGTTTGATCACTTCTCCTGCCTTCTCCAATCTAGGACAAAATATCTGGTTTGGAAAAATTCTCCAATTCAGCTATGTTGTCCTAGATTGTTCACTTCTCCTGCCTTCTCCAAACTCTTCACCCTTTTGTGAATAGCACTGTATGTGATGCAGATGGCATAGTAAAAAGAACGCTGCCACATGTGTATCTTTCGCAGGCTCGAGGGGCAGCTGCTTTAGGCCTCACATCAATGATTGGGCCAGGGGCAACTACCCCTTTCGTCACGTGTTAAAGACAGCCCTCTGATCTAAGTTAGGAAATGCCCACTATTACCATGAGGGCATAAATACTGGGTAATGGGTGGACAGCGAGGAGGGGGTACAGAGCTCCGCGGTTCAAATCTAGGGTCGGCCAGATGTATTCATGGTCTCTGCTCTCCTCCCACACTCCGAAAGACATGCTGATGGGTTCATCGGTTGCGGTCTAAACTGGCTCTAGTATGTAGTTGAGATTGGTTCCTTAGATTGTAAGCTTTTGGAGGGCAAGGACCGATGTGAACACACATTGTAACGTAAATTGTAGGCGGCATATAAACACTTGTAATAAATAAAGTTGGAAATTGGCACTTTTTTTCCTCCGTGCGCCAATCTTTGTCGGCCTCATATACATCCCCATTAAACTTAAATATCCTACCAATTTATACCCAGCAGGAATACACTGTCCCATATATCATCTCTTACAGCCATTACAAAGTACAGACACAACAACTTGTGGCTGAGCAGGAAGCCAGCAGAACTTCTCCTCCAACAATAAACCTGAGAGGTCACACAGGGAGGAGGGCAAGGGGCGTGCACTGCGGGAAAAAAAAATGACAACAGATTGCGTCACCGCTGGGGGGTGAGCACTGGGGGCGGGGCCTGAGTAGCATCAACTCAAACTCACAACGTCATCAGTGTCACACAAAGGAAAAGGGGCAGCTCCTTGCGAATAGCTAACGCCAGCCGCATATGTAGAGAACCCCGGCCATTACCTGCACAGCCCCTGCAGAAGGGCCCGAAGATATCACAGCAGGGTGAGGCGCGCACCCGACGTTCGAACATTCCATCCGCTGGACAGGTGGGAGAGTGTCGCGCGCGCCCCCCGTACAGGTGTTACAGTGTCGCGCGCCACGTACAGCTCCGTGCAGGTGGGAGTGTCGCGCGCACCGTAGAACCCTGTTCAGGTGGGAGAGTGTCGCGCGCCCCATATAACTCCGAGCCTCCGCTCTCTCCCTCCGCCACAAGCAGAGGTTACTTACTCGTTGAAAACACTTCCGAACGTCCCCTTCTCCAGTAGTTTCCCTGCCGGTAATGAGGTAGTTCTAGACGCGTGTCAGTAGCGGGGACGGTGTCAGGGTCGCCGGTGGAAGGACAAAGCGCTCCCCTTACTTTAGCTTCTCGCCTCCCAACTGAGGCTTTTGTTGTTCTACAACTGAGTTTGCAAACAGCTGATCGGGTCGTGACGTCGCGGAAACCCCGCCGGCCAATGAGAGGCGGTGGGAGGGCTGTCGTTAACGCACGTGACTTGAGGGGCCGTGCTCATGCATAAGCTGGGCTGTCAGTCAGAGGGCAGGTGGGCGGGATTGTCTGTCACTCATAGGGGAAGCTGGGAGGGCATGTCTGGACACGGTCAGGGTACATGGGATGCGGAGCAGATGTATCATGAGCAGGCTGTTACAAGGACTTGCACCATTCAGGTCCAGTTTTGGGAAGGGGGGTATAAAAGTAGAATTAGACCAATCACAATAAAATCTCACTGTAGTCTTTAACTTGTTATTATGATTGCAAAAATAATTTTAATTTGTTATAATTCAACAACTTTCGTCATAATAGTATCCGGTGATCCTTAAAGTGGTATTAAAGTCTCAATTATTTTTACAAGCAGTAGATATATGCAAAAACAGAAAAAAGTTGCCACAAAGGTAAAAACTTACTTAGCGTGCTCGCTCCCTGCTGCAGGACACTGCTGGAGATCACTGCCATTGTAGCACCTTTACAAATTCTATGCTCCCACTACTGACCTCTGGTCTCTGTAGGCTGCACAACAAGTATCACAGCACCGTATGTGGCCCTTGAGCTGCAGGTTGGGCACCAAGGCTTTAGGCCGACAGTCTGTGACCATCTCTTGTATCATGTCTGCAGTCACTGACCACCTCCAGTTCCATGCCTGCAGTATCTGACACTTCTCTGCTACATTACATTACCAGACATCCCAACTCTCCCGGATGTTGTGGGAGTCTCTCGCTATTAGATAGCGGCTACCAGACACCCGGGAGAGAAACATTTTCTCCCTGAAAGGTTTACTCTGCTCTATCTAGCAGAGTAACCCTTTCCCTGCTGTCTGTTTTTTTTTTTTGACAATGGGCCGCCGACTGCTGTCAGAAAAATAACAAAAAAAAACGGCATATGAATGAATTGCTAGGCTGCTATTGGTTATTTCAATTTGCAATATCCAATAGCAGACTAGCTATTGCACCCGCCCACTGCTGGTGTCAATCAGCAGAGGTGGACCTGAAGTTCTCTATCAGGTCCTCTTCTGCTGACTGACAGCAGCAGAGGGCAGGTGCAATAGCTAGTCTGCTATTGGATATTGCAAATTGAAATAGCAATCTAGGTATTCATTCATATGCCGTTTTTTTTTTTTGTATTCTGATGGCAGCAGCTGTAGGAATACTAAAAAAAACAAGCAGATAGCACAGGAAGCATTAGCTATCCATCATTTCAGGAGGGTGCTCTCTTCCTTGTTGTTGCAGGGGGGAGGGGGTTGACAGAGGGCACCTCCCTGAAATGTGAAGGGCACCTCCCTGAAATGGCTTATTTTAGGTTGGGATCCCTGCATTACTAAATATTATATGCAGCCCTTCGGTGATGCCAGGAGCCATACTTCAGGCCCACCAAATCAAGTAGGTCAACCACCACTGGCTTAAAGGAAAGCTGACACGAGAGAATCATGGAGGATTACTAGTCCTTCTGAAATTGCATATTGCCTGGCAGAGGCGGCTCTCTAATTAGGCAAATTAGGCGGTCGCCTTAGGCCTCGCACTCCCGAGGGCCTCGCGGCTGCCTAGTTTGCCCTGTCGGCACATCACCTCCCTGGCAGCCAAGTAGCGTTATGAGCTCTCAGACCTGTCACTGTCAAACGGAGACTCTACGTTTGACAGCGACAGGGCTGAGAGCTCATCCGTTTCCTCGGTCAATCCACTCGGTCTTCTGGAGCTCCGCCCACCAGCCAATGAGAAGATACCTCACCCCTCCCATCCACCGCACGAGGCTCTCAATCTGGCTGGGAGGGCGGAGTTTACCTTCAGACACGGATGCAGACGTCGGCGGCACCAGCTGGTCCTTTATGATCTGCTTTCTTCTGCCAGCTCCCGCCCTCGAGAAGCGGCCTTCATATTACTGGTGAGTGGCGACCTTGTGGAGAGCAGTGGCGGATCCGAGGGGGTGGTGGTCTAAGTGCTGCTCCAGAGTCCCGTTCCAGAGTCCCACTCACTGCCTCTGCCACCAGACCAGCAGGTCCGACATTGTAGTAACAGTATGACACAACTACATACAGCTGTGCCCCTCAGTGTCACAGACTTTACTGCAGTTCATTGTAAAAAAAACTTTGTACAATGAACTGCAGTAAAGTCTGTGACACTGAGGGACACAGCTGTATGTACCATCGCCGGCAGCCACATCCTGCTGTGTGGGTCATCGTGAGGACCCTCTCCTGTGACCCCTCCCCTCCACTGGCCACCAAGTCTGCAGGACAAAAGGTGCTGCAGCCTTCAGGTATTAGGTGAGGTTGAGGAGTGAATGGGTGATGGCTGGCTTGAGGGGAAAGGGGGACTGTAGCCAGGGGCGTATCTGCCACGAGGCAAACAAGGCGTTTGCCTCGGGCCGCAGATTCCAAGGGAGCGGCAAAAATACCAGGATCTCATTATACCAGCCCGCGGGCCAGTTGCGGCCCGCGAGCCGGTACTTTGTGACCCGCAGCCAGCTCAGAAGTGACGTACCCGGTCTCTGTCGGATGCAGACCGTGTAGCTGAGTCTGCGCCGGAACTCGGATCCTTTCAGCCAGCGCTCTTTTAGTGAACGCTGGCCGAAAGGATTGTGAAGGATCGATTGGTAAGGTCCGCAGCAATCAACCTTACCAATCAACCACCGAATCACCAGGGACTGACGTGCTGCCTCTCAGCCTCCTTCCTGCAACAAGGTAAGCAGGAGAGGGGGCTCTGTATTGCATTGTAGGTCCCTGGAGTACCATATCGCATATAGTTAAATTTTATTTTGTAGTATGAAATTTGGCAAGCGGCCCCTATGACAGAAGAAAATTTGTCGAGTGGCCCCAGAGACGGATGAGGTGGGGGGCGAAGGGGGCAGAGACACCGACGGAGGTGGGAGGCGTCACCGGAGCGCCAGTCGGGCGGCGAAGATGACAAGGAGGCTGTGTTGGGTGCAGAGGATGAGGAGGACGTTCAGCCGGGCGCCAAGGAGGCCGTGTTCCAAAGAGGTCAGGCCATTCAAGGTAAGAGGACTGTGCTGGCAGAGCCCAGCAAAGGATTCTGCATAGCCCACCAAAGAGTCTAAGGTGTGCTGTGCAATATGCTTTGGTGGGCTCTGCAGGATCCGGAGGGGGCTTTGTCGGGTCTCAGGGGGGCTTTTCAGGATCCATAGGGGGCTCTGCAGCCTGCAAAGCCCACCACAGATCTTGCAGAGCCTTCCTGAGATCCTGCAGGATCTGGGGGGGCTTTGCCGGGTCTCAGGGGGCTTTGCAGGATCTGTGGTGGGCTTTGCAGGATCCATAGGGGACTCTGCAGCCTGCAAAGCCCACCACAAACCCTGCAGAGCCCACCACAAACCCTGCAGAGCCCACCTGAGACCACAGCCGGGTGGGGTAAATTTAGTGTGTGTGGGGGGAGGCGCCAAGTTTTGTCTTGCCCAGGGCATCCCCAAACCAGAATACACCACTGACTATAGCTGCCCTGGTGGTATTCAGCGTTGCTGTATAATGATTATACAGCAATGCTGAATACCACCAGCTATACAGGATTTCAAATCCCAGACACATTATACAAAGCTGATGGTATTCTGCATTGAGGGTATTCCTGGGAGTTGTAGTCCCCTATAGCCGTTACTATTCTGCATTTCTTTAGAGAGTATTGCTGGGAGTTGTAGTTCTCTTTATACCTTTCATTTTTATCACTTGCATTTTTTCTCATTATGGGCCTGAGTGGGGCCTCATTTTTAAGTTTCGCCTAAGGCCTCGCAAAGTCTAGAGCCGCCACTGTTGCCTGGCTGTCATGCTGATGCATTGGCTTTACTGCTTCCCGAGTCAGTGAGATAAGTCATTCTGACATGTTTCCCACTTTCATTTTCAGTATACATATCCTTGGTCTGTGACAGTAAAAGCACTGATGCCAGGCACAACTAAATCCTCCTTATTTATTACAGGTATCTATTAGAGAAAAGTCAGAAGTCATGATCTGCATACTTGCATCAGTCCAGTGACTCAAATTCTCGAAGCAAGAGGGTCAATGTCACAGCAGATAAGTAGCATCTTCTTTTCCAGTGGTTTTGTTTAGAGAAAGATATAGCAGCAAATATAATAACATATTTCATGGTGTTCCCAGGACTGTCCTGCACGGCTAACAATCAGGCTTGACATAAAGCCAAACTCAACAGTCTACTGAAATGGAGGGCAGGTAACACTGATTTATATAGCTTGTTATTGTTAGAGGTCTCCCCCTTTGTGTAGGTGTTCTGGCACTGTCTAGTAGGAGTAAGGAATTACATTTATACGGTATTCTGTTGCCTTTTCTGTGTGGATCGTCCAGGGTCAAGGAAGCTCCTGCCAAAATGTTCAGCTCCACTGGTTCTCCAATCCATGGGGGCACGGCTACAATGGGGGCAAGAGAAAAGAGAAGGATATCTTAGAGAAGGATGAGTGAGCAGTATTAAAAATATATAATCATATATATAAATGGAAGGGGCTGGGGGGAGTGTAGGAAGGGGGGACCTTCATATCTCTGGATGGGTAGTTATATTTAGATAGTACGTTGTTAGAGGTTACCTCAAGTTGAGAAAACGTGATGCAGGGGGGCCAAACGTTTTATTGGTATCTGATGGCATTACCGTCGGATTTTCATTTGTCATTCAATAGCCACAAATGTATTCTTCATCAAGAGTCACAAAGGATATAAATCCACTTTGTGTGGATACCCTTTTAAACCCTTATTTTGACTTCTAAAAGTAGCAGTGACTTCATCACTGTGCTGCACATAGCCTGTGAAGAGAGCAAAAGGTGTGTGAGGGACCAGTCGCGGACCTAAGGAGCAAAGGGCCCTGGTGCAAGATTTCCCCCACCCCCCAAAAAAAAAAACCCCACAAACACAGCGCTCTCCTTCCGCAGCGCTCAGCCGGCTGTCACTTTCTCTCCTCCCCGCTGGGTCACAGAGCAACGCCCAGCGTGGAGGAAAGAAAGCAGGGATGCGCCGATGTATCCGCAGAAAAATTGCACTTTTGGCATTTAGCCAAAAGTGCCATTTCCGGCCGATATCTTTTGGCGGCCGATATATCG